TAGTGTGCATTTTACTGAGCAACGGTACAAATAAACTTCACCTTTTTGCACTTGAATTGTAATTTTTGTTAATCACTTTAATCTTTATCATATTTCACTAGACGTATTCATGACTAGAAATATAATATTATTTTTTTTTATATAGTTTGACAAATAATTGTCATTGAAAAAAATCCTGCAAATTAATGTGCATAAATTATTGTGTGACCTTTTGGCACTAAACAAATAGCCTGTTTGGGATATTAAAAATCTAACCAGACAATGAAAATATTTTCCTTTATCAAACTTCAATGACTTTAAGATCGTTTGAAAGTATCGTGAAGTTTAAAGTAATGAGAGATAAAGTTAAGGCCAGTGATTATAATTTTGAGATATTGGTCAAAATATAATTTTTTAGGAAACACCACCATGAAGTGGAGGTAAAGGTTTTGAGACTATCCCCTCCACTTCAGTTCAAATTTACAGTGTTGTGACGTCAAATGTGTTCCAGCAAACAGGGACTGTAACAACATTGTCTTTGGTTTTTTTAAGGCTCATTATTATGACTGTATTTTAGAAGAACCTGGCCTGGAGGTTATAAAACTTTTTGAGTACGTCTCCGTGCTCAAATTCATACTGCGTACTCCAAAACCATACTCATCCTCCAAAATTCCACTCTAAGCTGTATATAAATTTTGAGTATGTTTATGGTATGGGAGAACGGAGTATGAGTTTGAGCACAGAATATGTACTCAAAAAATTTTATAACCTCCAGGCCTGGTTTTATTTCTATGCCTGGAAGTCGAACTTATACTCACAGTTAACTTTCTAAGGATGAAATTCTGCAAAATCACATTTCAGTATTTAATACTTTTAACGTTCCAGTCAATCAAGATGAGTTACATCAACCCTACCCATGTTGGATTTCTAAACTTCATAAAAATCCTTGCAAAGATGCACAAATGTTCTACCAAGCCCCTATCTTTACGCCTTCAGACGTACTGTTTTCATTTTCTTTTGAGTGTGAATTATATATTTATTTAATCAATATTTTATCATTTACACATGACATGTATATATGTATTTAATGTAGTTTCCGGCCTCGAACGGGGGGGGGGTGGTGTTGCGGTACTCCTCTCTTCCGGTCCCCACTGGTTATACTGTCTGTGATTTCTAACTACCTGTCCGTCGTTCTTCCGGGGATGAAAAAGAAAAGCAATGTCTCCGACCTCCCTCTCATCACAGTGATAATTTATACCAAATCTGCAATATGTATTCATATTCTTCATTCAAGAAAGCCATATGACATTAACTGAATAAAGCAAACATATGTTACATTATCCTGTAATTAAAAAAAATTATCACACATTGATTTTAATTTTTAGAAACAAAAAATGCATTTAACGTTTACTAGAAAAGAAAAAGTTTGAAATATATAAAATTATATGAAATTCATCATAAAATCAAGTTCAGATAAATTGTAGGACACTTTTAACAAGAAAAATATCTTTAAGAAATGATAACTGTTCTACGATCACATTTTTTTAACAGTTCCAAAGGTATAAATTATAATTAATAGATAGTCTTCACTAGTTTAGTTTTATTAGAATGGAAAACTAAACAGTGAACAAATTTACGTGACCCGCTTACTCCAGTTATGTATTTTTCTGCAATGTTGCTACTGTTATTGTTTAAGTATTATAAGATGTTCGACCTCCAATGTTATAACATGCTTGACCCTTCAATTACTGCGCACCTGCATCCTGTTTGTGGAGACACGAGAGTTCTTAACAATGACTACTCTTATCCCTTTATTGTTCTACTTCCTTTCTGTGATACCCAACTTTTCACAACTTTTCACAACTTTCACTACATTCACTACTTTTCAACAACCACAAATTTGCGGTTTTTAGACACAATGTATTCAAGGTTAAAATGAACAATTTTGCAAATCAGATTTATTCTGTCATTCTGAAATGATATATGCATTTTATCAAATCTCAATGTATCCCACTACCTCTAATTCACTATTATAAATCAAAACAAATTACTCTAAAGAGTATGAAAAGCTAAAAGAGAATTTTCATTCAGTATGAACAAAATACAATTCAATATCGTAGTTATATTACTTAGCACGCTTAAACTTTTATGTGCATCAGACAATGTCATATACGTGAAGCTTTTGTAAACGTATGAATTCTACGTTGTAAAATATTTTGTCTTAAGGATAAATAACAATAACAAACTTTTTTTTTCAGAAATCAGCAATATTTCTAACAGATTTATATTCAGATAGGTAACCCGAATAATGTTTGCCAGGTAAAAAGGGAGAATTTGTTGCAGTGTTAAAAATATGTGCAAAATTTTGTATAGAATAACATAGAAAATGACACGAAGTTGCATATTTAATTGCCAAAGAAAAACTAACGATTTTTTTTATATTTTAGGGATTTATTATTTATGTCATTCTTATTCAAAATCTCTCTCTCTCTCTCTGCAATATATATCAATCCATGCATCCAATTTTTGTTTGTGTTATGTATCCTTAAATGCTTTTCGCTTCCTTCAGAATGATTGATGTCTCTTTAAGGAGATTGGATCCTATTATCAAAAGTATTGAGAATTTTTTATCAAGTATATTTTTAGAATCTATACACAAAACTTAATTAAAAAACAACACCCCCCCCCCAAAAAAAACAAACAAACAAACAAACAAAAAAAAAAACAACAAACAGACAAACAAAACAAAAAAAGGGGGGGTCAATACGCTTCTTTTGGCGATACAGAGCATTTAATATGACCTTTTTGCACTGTAATTACGTCTAACACATAAATCAATTTTTCAAAGTTTTTCCTCTTTGATTTTTTATCCATATAAATTATGGGAACAAACACGGTCTTTTTCATATTGAATAGTCACATTAAAATTTTTACAGCAAAAAGTATGAAATTACTACGCATAGTCAATTATTTGACCTTTTTGCAATCAAAAAATCATTCTTTAAAAAGTTAACAAGCAATAAAATCATTTGAAAGTAATGACATTTTTCTGAATTTAGAAAAGAAAATTAAAAGTGGGGATCTGTGATGTTAATTTTTAGATATTACTATAATATTTTTTAATTTTAGGGTTAAATTGGGCTATTTTTCCCCCAGGACTTTCACAATATATTGGCTTATTTGTAAAATATAATGATAGAATTCATGACAGTTAATTTAATATATGATTTAGGACTAGCATAAAACATATATATAAAATAACTGTTTGTGCAGATTGCATGTAAAAATAGGAATTCAAACTTAACAATACTGTAAATACTTCGAAAGAGAAAAGTTGATTATAATGATATAAGAAAAAATCAAAATAATGGGATTTTTACCTACCCAAATGGAGTTGTTACTTTTTTCCTATAGAATTTGATTACTTTAAACAAAACCACGCGTGAAAAATAAATAATAAAAAAAAAAATTCTTTATTCCAATGTAAGATTGAAATAAGTGCATAAAATAAGTGTGTATGCTTTTTTATAAATAGAAATTGCAATTTTATGAATTTTTTCGTCTTTTATCAAATACTTGCGAGTAGGAGAGAAAATAATGAAATACAGGTGTAGTAAAAAGGAAAAAAAAAATCACCTAGAGTGTGTAAGTATATAATATAATTTTATGCCTTCTTCACACGAAGAGTTTAATTCGCAGTAATTTAATGCGATGTAAACTAATGCGAATTAAGCTAATGCGAATTAAATTGCGTTCACACGACAACTGATGCGAAGTAAACTAATGCAAACTAAAATTTTATTTCTATAGTAGGGCTATTCAGTAAGGCTATTATAACGTCATTTGCAAATCACTTCACCTATGCAGGGCAGATCTATTTGACGTAATGTCATAGTGTCTGTACACATTTTAGTGATTAACATAATTTTCCTATAGTTTTTCACTCAAAAATAGTACAGGTACCTATATCTGACCACCGATATGTGGCATGTGACTTAATTCTGCCATTACGCATGCGTCAGAATTGAATTCGAATTAGCTTCGTTTAGCGTTCACACGGAGCTAATGCGAAGTAATTTAATGCACAGTAAACTAATTCGAATTAAACTAATTCGCATTAAATTCTCCGTGTGAACTCGGTTCGAATTTAATTCGCAGTATCTTAATTTAATTCGAATTAAACTCTCCGTGTGAACAGGGCATTACACTACTTCAGGATGCTTCCATATCAATATTACTCATTTGAGTTCAGCTACCGTCATTGTGGCGCTGGACAGTGTTCATGTGGCGCATCTTTTTCTTAGAGCTTACTACAACTTTATATAATTATGTTCAATACATGTGTCTTTCAAAATTCCAAAATTGGCTTTTTTGCATCAGACTGGGTGAAACATTTGTTCTGTAAATTGAATATATTTTGTTTAACAGCTAGTTTGTATATTTGCCTAATCATTTGTATCGTTGTTCATTTCATGCGTATTACCATATTTACATTTACACGCATTTGCTATTTGCCATTTGGGTTTCCATAACTGCACTGGTTGGTAACCTTTGTTACCATTGTGCCAATAAATATTTGTAATTGCTGATATCTAAAAAATTGTGGTGTTGCCCTGGCCAGTATTCGTCATCAAACAATAAAATTATAGGGACATGTAGGATGTTTTTTTCCTAAGAAAACGTTCGACAAAAGTAAATTGTTTAGGACACACTTCATTATTCTTTTTAAAATTAAGGTGCAATTGGCCAAAAGGGAACTTGGAACGTGTCTTCCACATTATTATTTAGTATATCTAGCGATGTTGGCCGCGCTCACGTTTTTTTCTATGTAAGTTATTTAGAATGCAATCTAATATCTGTTTACCTTATATGTTCAGAATACTTGCTCTGTATTTTTGTCCTTTAAATGTAGCAATGGATTTAGATACAACTTCCGAACTTCCGAGAAACTGAATAATAAGAATGTCGTTCATTTGCTTCTACGAAATTACGCACATTGCGGCTTATATATAAATCATGCTGTAAGCCCTTACAACAGTTCAATTTATATGCCAACATGGAAAGCTGTCCGTTACCTTGTGTCCCCCAGTCCCACATTTATGCAGATATTGATTTTAATGTTCGTTCACTTTTGTTGATTTTTGGTGGTATGTCAACAATTGATGAAGGCGACATTCTAGAACTCGAAGACATCTATCAATTACGAGAAGAACTTGAGATTTTGATTCGAAACGTATCATATTATCACCCAAGAATACGGGAACTTCATGAAAGGATTCTTATGCTGAAGACAACGGTTGATAAATTTACAAAACAGGAAGTCAGCATAGAAGAAAGAATAAGATCCCAATATCAGTTGCAGTGGGACGACATGATAGACAAATTTACCGATATTTCAATAGTCTGCAGCAAAGAACGAGAACGAATCGATGAACTTGAAAAAAATGAAATTAGGTTTGTTTCTAATACTTCTTATTTTGAGTCAATGTTTAGCAAATAGATAAAAAGAAATTTGCATGCAACTATCACCTTGGCGTATTTTTTCAAACAACTTTGAAAGATTTATATTAAAATTCTTCACTTATTCCCTTGTCTGACATATTATAGGCAGAAAATGCTGTATAAACTAATATTTTACATCAATGTCATAAAAAAATGACTTGATTATCTTTTCAGGTATAAAAGCGCACTGGAAATTAAAAATAGCAAAATTAAGTCATTAGAAGAAAAAGTTGCTACGCTGTCAGAGAGAAACGAAAAATTGTCTTCTACAGTTAGCGAAATGAAAGAGGTTTATGTTCACAATCTTTTGGTATTAAATATGCCGTAACTGAGTCAATAAAGTACTTTAATTTTTAAAATAACAATTGAATTAAATTTTGTAAATCATATGATCTTCTTATATAGTGGAATGTAACTTTTGCAAATACGAAAGAGTGGAATTTAAAGACTGCTCACAATCAACTAGCGATGTGCAATGCAGAACGGATATTCTTCCAAACAACACACAATCAGGCATGTAGTATTTGCATTTGAATAGCAATGTGTTACTTTGTCTTAAGAAATCAATTCACTAAAACTTAAGAAAGTCATAATTATTTTGATATTGAAAAATATTCGAAATGTTATAATTGAATAAATACTGAAAAAAGTTAAAATTTTTTGAAATTATAGACCATTGGGATGAGGATGTATGACGAATGGGTGTTTGACAAAACAAGAATTCAGCAGTACTGGGACGCACAGATCATTCAGACAACACATATTATTAGGAATATTTACAACATTCGACTTGAAGCAGAAAGGCGATACCTCGCACAGCAGTATCAAATTAAGGTATTTGTCTGTTTCTGTGAGAACAGTACATGTAAATAGGTAAAAAAGGGTAAATTTATCAAAATATACGAAACAAATAATGTACGACATATAAAATTGAATGTTGATTTCAGATGAACAAATCGGAAACGGAGATCCTGAAATTCAAGAAAAGTTATAAAGCACAACTTTTACAACTACAACAGAAGGTAGCTCAGTTTCAGGCGATATGGGAAAAGATGGAATCCAATTGCTCATCTAAGCATGATCGACAAAGATGCACCAGGCTGAGGGGAGAATTTCGCATCATGGTTGACATCGTTGTCTCAAAGTAATTAATTGAGTAGATTCATTTAGTTGCTTTTTGTTTATTAGTTATTTGACATATTTATATTGTGCTATATTTCTAAAAGAAGTACACTAAACCGTCGGTTTTTAATCAGCATATATTATTAAAAGATATCAGAAGTCATATCAAAACATTCTTACATAGAACAATGGTAAACACAATGCATTTAATTAATCCATAAACATTTGAAATGTTAAAAACAAACTGAATCACAGCACCCTGAATGATTTTTGAATAAGTTAAAAGAAAGGGAAATAGGCAAGAAAAGGAAATACATACATTTACTAGATCAAACTGTAAATTCGCTTTGTAAAAGGTTGTGCAGGATTAAACATTCACTCTGTTGTGTTGGTTGCTCTTTGTGATTCATACACAATAGGATACCAGTTAGAAATCTCTACAACAGTTCTTCTGTAGGCCCAAAACATAGCCAAAATATAAAAATATCGCGGCTTGTCTAGCTATCATTCTATTTTCCCACAGAACTTTTAAATCCCTATTATTTTCTTAAGTGCCATAATAGGCTTGCAATAGCTTATAACTATTTATTGTTATCATTTCAGGTTGGGAGATTTAAGGTAAGGATTAAAAAAGGATAAGAAACGTAAACACGCTTCCCTGTATCGATGTCTGGGAAGGCTTTTTCTTTCTTTTTGTCTTAGCCTGGGTGAATTTCAACAATTCATACAGAAACAAATTATTTGGATTAAAAATCATCTCATTTTTCTTTTATTGTAAAATTTGAAAATGTCAATGAATGATTTGTTGCCGAGTCGACAGTACTTTAGCCATATAACGGCGGTAAATGAAAAGATGGACTTTCCTTTCCTTCTATACAAACATACATGCTGTCCACACAGGTCTAATTGTCATTTGCTTTTTTTTTTTAAGTGAATCCAGCATTGTATATGCAGAAAGTCGAAACATTGGTCATGAAAAGGAGATTCTGGGAACAAAGACACCTACTTATGACGAATTTCAAGAGCAATATGAAGAACTAGACAGTGTGGGATCACTTGATTAACCAGCTGCTGGATATATAGACATAGAGATAAAAACGTTATTTTCTTATGTTCTCTATGAATTTTACGATGAATTTAGCTGGTGAAATGAAATATATATTTTTAATGAAGAAAAAAGAAACTTTTTTGGATATTTCTTGAATATGTTGAGTATACATGCTTAAGTAAAATAAAAAAGCTTGGCTTACTATGCTCTACTGTTCATACTACGAGGGTTGCTCTAAAAGTAATATCTCATTACGTAAAAATCTTTAAAAAATCAAATGTCTTTATAAACTTATTCACCTACTTTTTTACCTTTGCCTTAAAATTTCATCCAGATGTATGCAATACTTATTGAAAACATTAAGATATTAATAAAATGAAAATTAATAAATGCGGCGATGCACAAAACCTAACTCTGTGTTAATCTTAATATTATTTTTTAAAAAAGTATAATAATTGTTTATAACTGAAAAAAAAAATTATGCAAAAGTCAAAATAGATAGGAGTATTTGTGTGTAAAATTGTGTTGATAACATTCGATTATTAAAGATTTTAAAGCAATTGTGACCTTATGTTTGGAGCAATCCTCGTATCATTTGTTAGGTGCATATTCATAAGTTGAAATGGGAAATATTCAGCATTAGTTTTTTTTTTTTTTTTTAAATTTGCTGTAACAATATATTTTGTAAAATCTATTTTATGCTTTCAATTTGATGTACATGTATCAACATTGTAAAATGTAGCTTATGTTAAAACTCTATAGCTAAACATATATGTTTGCTTTTTATGTACTTTACAGTTACAACAACCCCTTTTATTACTTACCCAAAAAATAAATAAATAAATAAATAAAATTACCGCAACGGTGATTTCTTTGCTTTTTCTTTGCATGAATTCGTCATATTCACCAAAGCACTAAAACTTGATGAAATGCTTAAAACTAGATATGTTACACACTAGAAAGAAAAACAGGAAGTCATTTTGTTATCTGGATATTTGTTTTCTTTCTAGAAGGTTGTTTATGAAAATGTTCCAATTTCTAATTCATTCAATATTGTATAATATAATGAAAAAAAAATCCATTAAATATTAACCATGAAAAAGTCTATAATTAAATGAGTAGCTGAAACCTGATAAAAAAAATTGCCTTGAGCAACAGTCACGCAAGCACGGCAAGAATATTGCTATACCATCTGTGGGATTAAAAAGTTGCACCAAATACCAATGTAATTTGAAGTCAAAAGATGGGCAAATGAAGTAGAAAGTTCCTGAAGGATGAGCCTCTTGCGGTACTTCCTCTTTAATCCCACAGATGGTATAGCAAAATGAGATGGTATACTAGATCTACGTGTATGCACAGCGAAATAAATATTATGCAAATGCAATATTGAAATAGAGAACACAGATTTATATAACATACATGTTCTTCTTTCGGTACCTCTTTGTGCTTAGCTTGTTATGACTTAGAAAATTTTATAATGTTATATTTAAAACAGAAAAAAGTGAGGTAATGCTGGATATGAAACCCAGTACCCTCACTATGTACGTCGTGTACTCATTTCATCAAGCTATCGCAACCGATGTTAAAAGGGCATTTAGATAACTTCACAGAACTCACTTTACTGTACTATTTAAGACAACAAACTATTCAATATATTTTTATCTAATGAAAATATATCTGAAGTATAAAGTATTTCTCTTCCAACGGCGAAAAAGAGCTTTATGTATAGTGCAAGAAAATAATGATAAGTCAATGGGTAAAAAGTGAATGTAGCGACAAATATGCTTTACGAACATTATTTATTGCAGTTGCTGTTTGTCAAATTCTTTTATACCACTCTTTTAATCATTTCAATTATCTCAATTAGAATGTTGTGGTTTGAATTAATGGAATCTAAAATATTAACATTGAATATAAACGGATATATTCCTGAACCAAGTAGCTATCTTTTATGATACATGAATGAAATTTTAATGAAAGAAAAAGATAATGAATCTGTATATAATTAAATTATATCGAATTGACGCAACTATCTCTTTTTAGCTCACCTGAGCTGAAAGCTCAAGTGAGCTTTTCTGATCACCCGTTGTCGCATCCTGAGATAGTGTAGATTCTAAATTGTTCAAATCATGACCCCCGGGGGTAGGGCGGGGCCATAATAGGGAATCCAAGTTTTACATTGAAATATATAGAAAAAATCTTTAAAAATCTTCTTCTCAAGAACCACTGGGCCAGAAATACTGAAACTTATATGGAAGCATCCTTGGGTAGTGTAGATTCTAAATTGTTCAAATCATGACCCCCGGGGGTAGGGCGGGGCCATAATAGGGAATCCAAGTTTTACATTGAAATACATAAGAAAAATCTTTAAAAATCTTCTTCTCAAGAACCACTGGGCCAGAAAAGCTGAAACTTAAGTGGAAGCATCCATTGTTCAAATCATGACCCCCGGGGGTAGGGCGGGACACAATAGGGATTCCAAGTTTTACATTGAAATATATAAGAAAAATCTTTAAAAATCTTCTTTTCAAGAACCACTGGACCAATAAAGCTGAAACTTTTTGGAAGCATCCTGAGGTAGTGTAGATTCTAAATTGTTCAAATCATGACCCCCGGGGGTAGGGCGGGGCCACAATAGGTATATTAAAAGGGAGGAAATCTGGTAAAGAACGGCATGGCCAAAGTTACTCAGGTGAGCGATGTGGCCCGTGGGCCTCTTGTTTGTCAGTGTCACTTGGTGCAATAAATGAATCATGGAGAGGACAGAGCCTGCTACCAATCTTTTTGCGTTTATAGCAAAATATAATATTGTTTAAATCAATCTAAAGAATGAATTGTATTGTTTTGAACTAGATGTGAACTGTATGTTTTTAGAATATATTATGGCCTTAAAACACCCACTGATGTTTAAGCGAGGTTTAAGAGTTAAATGATAGTAAATCATTTTAGGCATTTCATTTTTTTCTCTTCATAACATGGAAGTTGTATCTTTATTTAAATATTCTAAAATCCTTTATTTTGTGGTTTCGCATGTACGTGGTTTAAAGAAAACATAATTATTTGTTCATGTTTCACAAACAACTATTTAAATTATACTAATTATATATCCGAAAGACAAACAGAATTATCGTGTAGTTTAAAAGTCTTACTAGTTGTGCTGAGAAGAACTTCCAGTCAAAAAGAACGCTGAACATTGAGTGGTAACTGGTATCCTAATTCTCATCCTAGTTTAATGCAATTTGCCGTGGTAATCGATGTTTCCTGGGGTACTGCAGCTCTCACTATGATTTTGTTTAGTTGCGGCTGCGCGACACGTTGGACTCAGCACCTATCTCAACTGGAAAAGTATTTTCTTTGTTTTTACCGTTGATAATTACATAAGTATACATGGATATAGGCTCTATCATTTGATGACATTTGCTGTCAATCCAACGATACTTTGTTAACTGTGCATTTGTTATTGTTACTACTGCTTTTTGCATTGTCCACTTGTGAATAGACAAGATTGCTCATCATTCACCGGCTATTATAAAACATTGTATTTCTGCTGAATATATAGGGTCTATAAGTCTCGTAGACTTTCACTTTCGTTTTATAACTTTCTGGAACATGAGCATTTTTGGAGACAATGAATTAATGAAACAAGAAAGCAATTAAACGCTAGTTACATGTATCTTTCAATCCATTTTCTCCTCTTCTTTGCAACGATCGGAAAATAAAACAAACTACAAGTTTTTGTTTTTGTTTTTATTTCATTGCGATGATTATTACCTAATGCGTAGCAGTACATGCCATAATTACAAGCTATTCTGAATGGACAAGGATTAGCCAACATGTTTTAGAGTAAAAGGAAAATTAAACCGTTTTCATACTAAAATAGTTTATATTAAAAATGTAAGGTTATCTACATATTTATTGCACTGATTTAGCTATCGAGGGTTTCAATGTGTGGAATTGGACAGGTATAGAATGAAACCGTGATGTTGAATGTGACGTCATTGAAAGCAAACAGAAAATAGACAAACCCATATGCATCAATCAATGGAGTACAAAATTGATAATCACGTCAATAAAACATAATCCTTGTAGAAGACACATTCTATTTTTTATTTATAATATTGCACTTAAAAAATCATTGCAATAAATAAAATAGATTACTTCATTCTTTAGCCTCCTTTTTTTACTCTTTTGTATACACTTTTTATCCGGAAACAAAAAAACTGTCAAACATTCTACAAAAGAATCATTTATTCTTCAAAAGAAGAATGCATTTTTTTCATGTATACTTATTATAATCTGCCAAGCTTCATACTCCCCCCCCCCCCCCCATTTAATAGAGGTATGAGAAATTCTCAAAATGAAGCATGCATATTTTTTTTATTCTTCCAAAGAAGACGGCATTTCTTTCATGTAATACATTAGTAATACATCCTCCCCTTTCCGATACTTCTACAATTATGAGATATTCAAACATTTTTATTCTTAACAGGATTAAAAATAGAGGATGTCGAACGTAGTTCAATAAGTCAAAACCAGTTGAATAGAGACTCGTTTTCTTCATCGTATGAAAATTATCATAAGATAACTAGTTAAATAAAGTTAAAGATATATCATTTTTTAGTAAAACTGATAATAGAATCATATGTTTTATGTCATTTTAACTTTTTAATAATAAGAAAAAAATAACACATATGGAAAGGTTATTTCATATTTATGAGTAATGAAGAATCTTTTGAAGAACTTATTTAAAGTGTAAAATTATTTCTTTCACTTTTTAAAAGCCCTTGCTATATACAGTGAATTCAGACAATTCGTCATACCCCCCTCTCTGTGTGTAAAATTCTTTCTTTTAATTTTTAAAAACCTTTGCTATATACAGTGAATTCAGACAATTCGTCATAACCCCCCCCCCCCCTCTCTCTCTCTCTGTGTATGTGTGAGGGAGAGAGGGGGGGGGGGGGGTACTACCACAAACGTATTTGCAGTTGACTGTTTTGGAGTTCTTACCAAGATGAAGTTTAATACCAAGGACAAAGACAACGACAAACGTTCTGATCATTGTTCTACAGTGAACAAGACAGCATTGTGTTTGGTGATTCTTTTAGCACAAATCTTAATGGATCATACAAGAAAGACTCTAAGAAGTATGGCAAGGAATTGTCTTGGAATACCTGGGTCCTTGAAGTCGGCAAAGATGATGATCATCCAAAGCAATGGGTAATTGTTGAATTTGTCAATGAATTATCGAGAATAAATTGACCTTAGAAGTATAATATGTAGTTAATTTATGTTTTAAAATGATACATAAATATTCCGTAATTTAATCCAACAATCCAAACTTGGTGTTTTTCTTGTGGAAACTACATGATCCAGTCTTCAAATGACGATCTTGTATCAATCAACCAGTTTGTAACTAAGTAAACAATTATCTACGAATCTGAGTTACCCTGGGTATAAAATGTTTTGAGGAATATGACTGTATAAATAACAATTAAGCATGTTATTTATAATGGATACTCACCTGTCCTCCAAAGAAGTTTTATGAACACTGTAATGCTTAAGGACTGGCATTTCACTCACAATTTGTACAGGTTCTACACCAGAATGATAAAACTGCCATACATAGTTACTTGTTGGGATTGATTACCTTGCAACAATTAACGCGGTAAATTAAAGTGGTAAAAATACCAAAACATTGTTTTGAATTTTCCAGGCTTTGTTATTCAGACAATAGATTCTTTCTTATTAAATAAGCAAAATAAATTATAGGAACCAAATACATGTTTCATGCATTTATAATTATTACAGAATTTTTTTTAACTGCAAGGATAACAAATCAAAGTGTATATAACTTGACCAACCATATTTGGAGTTCACAAGGCCGATTTGAAGATCGAGTCTAACTGATGTGTCACTAAAAATACAGGTACACATATACATGTCGTAATTTGTGTAAATAAAGACAAATATTGAATCAATACGCTTAAAAGATAATAAAATTACCTCAAAGTATTTATTTAAACACTAGTATACAGCAGTTTTTATGTTTTTATACATACGGAGCAGGCACAAAGAAAATCAACCTACGTTTGAATGCTGTTTAATCCAATATCAACAAAAGAAAATTCAATAAAATTTACAATTTGTATATAAAAACACATTTAAAACAAATTTAAATTGTTATATGTAAGAGTTTCATAACATAATTGATTCTTATTTTTCATCAGTGATTTTAAACAAAGGTTGTATTGCATAATTAAAATTTCAGTAGGAGATATACATGTAACCTTGTATACCCCATCAAAATAACTTACATTACAAAATTATTACAAAATTACAAAAATACAAAATTATGTATGAATATATGTAAGAATGCATATCTTTTCCAAAAATCGTTTAGAAGCAAATAAAGCATGGGAAAGGGAGCACAATGATATAAAAAAGCATCAACTCTTTGTTACAATAAGTACTCAGATTAAAGCTTTCAAAACTTAGAATAGTTATGCCATGTAATAACTTGTATCCGTGTCTGACCCCATCCTTAAATGTTCTAAACCAGCAACTCTGGTTCGTAGAAGTTGCAGTCTCCTTTCATTGAGAGAAAGTTGATTCTTTCCAAAGGCAGACGATGATTAAATTCAATAAAGGATTTACCGTTTACGTATGTCTGCAAGATAAAGATGATATTTAACTGATCTTATAAGTTAAGCGAAAACCCAAGGCCAAAATCTCATGCCGCAGTAAAAAAATCGACTTTGGTTAATGCATGTATATCCATGCCTATCTCTGAAATTCTGAAATTGTGGCATTATATTTATGTTTCATAAATTTTATATTTTGTGACATGACTGTGTATGTCAAATCTAGGTCAGTATTCATATATAGATAATACTACTCTGCTGCATATTTTGTCTTTTTTTAACGCGGTTAAATAAAAAAGGGTAGATTGTTTGGTCACATTCTGATAAAGTACTATTGCATTATCCATTTCTTTTGTCTTGCATCACAAACGTGGATACCAGTGGTTCTTTTATTTTAATCTTGATAGTACTTTAACTACATCAAAAGTTTTGAAGGTCACGTACCAAAAACTTGTCTTCTCTGACAAAGAAAACAATTTCAAACGTGTTTCCTGCATCGAAGGGAAAGTTTGGGGTACTCCTCTCTTCCGGTCCCCACTGGTTATACTGTCGATGATTTCTAACTACCTGTCCGTCGTTCTTCCGGGGATTAAAGAGAAAAGCAATGTCTCCATCCTCACGCGCATCATAACGAAAATTTATACCAAATCTGAAGCAAATATCTATTTTATTCTTTCAAAAATCATGTTATTAAATCAAACATATGTTACTTGTCTTGTAATTGTATTTTTTCACATATTATTAATAATACTTGAATACAAAGAAAAATAAAAATGCATGTAACATATGTTTACTGGGAGAAAGTTAGTTTGAAATATATATGTAATTCATCAGATAATCAAGTTCAGATAAATTTTGGAGCACTTTTAACAAGGAAAAATATTTTAAAGAAATGATATTGCTTGAGGATCACAATCATTTTTTTTTTTTTTTCAAATTTCAAAGGTATAAATTAATAGCCTTTGCAAGTTTACTTTTATTTGAATTAAAAAAAAATAAACAGTGAACACTTCACTACCTACCCAGTCCAGTACTTTTTTGGTGTGCCCTGTAGAATAATCCAACTCCCTGGTCGTATTCCACCGGGCAGCCGCTCCCAAATTGGCTCCTCCTTCAGATATTAAGATAAAAAAATAATACTCACATAAAACAACAAATGCTACATTCACATCCAGAGAGAGAGAGAGAGAGAGAGAGAGAGAGAGAGAGAGAGAGAGAGAGAGAGATATTTACCAATCTCTTCATCAGAAGTGTCTCCAATATGAAGACGTCGCCAGAAATCTGAATAGCCCGGATTTTCTCAACACTATCACGCATCCTATACTTGGCAAGTTGTACTCCATTTAAGGAGATCTGCGGTTATAGTGGGAAAATTACGTATAATCACCAATAATATCTTATATTAACTGATTACTTTTGAATTTATATCGAAAGTCAATAACTTAAGATTTACTAATACAAAAATACATATTTTATACATTTTTGGAAGGAAATTTCAGTTCTTCTGTACAATATTTGAACGTAAACTTAAAGGTGAATATTGATGGAAGTACATATTGAGACTAATTTGATCTTAATTGACGTAACATCTGCTTTTACTGTAAATTTGTGTTTCTTTGTCTCTATTTTGATTTGAAATGGTCTGTTAGACCAGAAGACCAAGGGTAAGGGAGTCTTCTCCTCAATCTGCCACGCCCCTCCAAAACGACTGTTCAGAACCACTTCTCCTGTGTTTCTCCGCGGATTAAAATGCAAGACAATGTCATCGTCCATAGAAAACCCATTCAGGAAGTTGATTGCAAATCTATCGAAAAGAATCAAAAGGATACAAAACTCAGAAAATAGAATAATTTTGTTAAACGACTTCTAAGAATAACACATAAAGGACAGCGTAAATGTTTAATGCATTGCAAATGGTTGGACGCACGTGTTTCCATCATTTTTCATCATGCCATTTAGAACATAGACGTCTCCTTTCTCTAAGCCAGATTCCACCTCAGTCATCGAGTCTTCTCCCTGAAAACAAAGATGAAAACTATGTGACTGCAATGAAATCAAGACTTATATCTGGATTAAAATCTGTATGTTAGTTTTGGTTGAAGAGTAACGTATGCAATATACAGACCACCGGCTCCATGCAGTCCACGTCAAGGATATTTACACTGCCAGTTATACTGAGAACGGTGATATTGGTTGGATTACCTCGATGAGTAAAATCTATGTAGTGACCATCGTTCACATACACCTTAAATGATAGAAATCTAGAGCATTTATTTAAGTTTAATCAATTTTTAAATATCTAATCAATTAATAAATAAATATGTTTTGTGACTTAATGGTTCACAAAACAGTAAAGGCATAATTAACAAACTGTTTAAGAACTTATAGATCGATATCACTTGTAAACCTGTCAGCTGCTTACTGCAAATTTGTCTTCCATGCAGACAAATGAGGCATCAAAGTACTCTAATGGGTAGAATGGAAATCCTGCTGGACAATCTTTTTCCTCTCTCCCCCAGTTGCTTCCGAAACGAGAGTTCCTTACCACATATCCCTCCTTAGGACGGGCATTAAAGTGAAAGTAGATACTATTGCCTCCATCCATAAAATTAATCGAAAATCTGCAAATTAATATAGTTTATTATACCCATTCATTTTCGATAAGTTTATAATACACATAGAGTAGCCTTTAATTCTAAAGATATCATACCCATCTTGATCTGTGCACATGCCTCGGATTCTCAAAGTCTTTCCAATTTTCATTCCTTTGTGAATAGTTGCATTGAACGGAATGATCTGAAAGAAATACGAGAATGAATAAAAAATCTGAATTTCCCTTTATTCTGTCAAGCAGTTGGAAAGAAGAATATGATTTCCCATTTTTACAGAGGACAATTCAATGATATTTTCACAATGAAGACAATTTAACTTATAAAAGTGCATCTGAAAGAAAAAACAAAACATTTGACATCATTTGAAGACTAAGCAGTTATCTGTCCAAAGTAGAGAAACGTAGTAATCACTCTGTGCTTCTAAAGTATGTAGTTATCTCTCTGTGCTACTTCAGTACTAATATGTAGTTACTGGTAACTCTCTGTGTTACTTAAGTGCGTAGTTAACCCTCTGTGCTACTTCAGTACTAGTATGTAGTTGCTGGTAACTCTCTGTGTTACTTAAGTATGTAGTTAGCCCTCTGTGCTACTTCAGTACTAGTATGTAGTTACTGGTAACTCTCTGTGTTACTTAAGTATGTAGTTAGCCCTCTGTGCTACTTCAGTACTAGTATGTAGTTACTGGTAACTCTCTGTGTTACTTAAGTGCGTAGTTAGCCCTCTGTGCTACTTCAGTACTAGTATGTAGTTACTGGTAACTCTCTGTGTTACTTAAGTATGTAGTTAGCCCTCTGTGCTACTTCAGTACTAGTATGTAGTTACTGGTAACTCTCTGTGTTACTTAAGTATGTAGTTAGCCCTCTGTGCTACTTCAGTACTAGTATGTAGTTACTGGTAACTCTCTGTGTTACTTAAGTATGTAGTTAGCTCTCTGTGCTACTTCAGTACTAGTATGTAGTTACTGGTAACTCTCTGTGTTACTTAAGTATGTAGTTAGCTCTCTGTGCTACTTCAGTACTAGTATGTAGTTACTGGTAACTCTCTGTGTTACTTAAGTATGTAGTTATCTCTCTGTGCTACTTCAGTACTAGTATGTAGTTACTGGTAACTCTCTGTGTTACTTAAGTATGTAGTTATCTCTCTGTGCTACTTCAGTTCTAGTATGTAGTTACTGGTAACTCTCTGTGTTACTTAAGTATGTAGTTATCTCTCTGTGCTACTTCAGTACTAGTATGTAGTTACTGGTAACTCTCTGTGTTACTTAAGTATGTAGTTAGCCCTCTGTGCTACTTCAGTACTAGTATGTAGTTACTGGTAACTCTCTGTGTTACTTAAGTGCATAGTTAGCCCTCTGTGCTACTTCAGTACTAGTATGTAGTTACTGGTAACTCTCTGTGTTACTTAAGTATGTAGTTAGCCCTCTGTGCTACTTCAGTACTAGTATGTAGTTACTGGTAACTCTCTGTGTTACTGAAGTATGTAGTTAGCCCTCTGTGCTACTTCAGTACTAGTATGTAGTTACTGGTAACCCTCTGTGTTACTTAAGTATGTAGTTAACCCTCTGTGCTACTTCAGTACTAGTATGTAGTTACTGGTAACTCTCTGTGTTACTTAAGTATGTAGTTAGCCCTCTGTGCTACTTCAGTACTACTATGTAGTTACTGGTAACCCTCTGTGTTACTTAAGTATGTAGTTAGCCCTCTGTGCTACTTCAGTACTACTATGTGGTTACTGGTAACTCTCTGTGTTACTTAAGTATGTAGTTAGCCCTCTGTGCTACTTCAGTACTAGTATGTAGTTACTGGTAACTCTCTGTGTTACTTAAGTATGTAGTTAGCCCTCTGTGCTACTTCAGTACTACTATGTAGTTACTGGTAACTCTCTGTGTTACTTAAGTATGTAGTTATCTCTCTGTGCTACTTCAGTACTAGTATGTAGTTACTGGTAACTCTCTGTGTTACTTAAGTATGTAGTTAGCCCTCTGTGCTACTTCAGTACTACTATGTAGTTACTGGTAACTCTCTGTGTTACTTAAGTATGTAGTTAGCCCTCTGTGCTACTTCAGTACTACTATGTAGTTACTGGTAACTCTCTGTGTTACTTAAGTATGTAGTTAGCTCTCTGTGCTACTTCAGTACTAGTATGTAGTTACTGGTAACTCTCTGTGCTACTTCACTACTAGTATGTAGTTACTGGTAACTCTCTTTGTTACTTAAGTGCGTAGTTAGCCCTCTGTGCTACTAAAGTATATTTTAGTTAGCTCTCTATAACTTGCATACTTACTGGTTTGTCTTGGAAAATGACGTCGTAATACTCTGCTCCCTCTCTTAGAATAAGATAGTGGCCTTTTCTGTAGTCTGTACGATGAGAAAAGTCCACAAAGTGTCTCCCATTTACATAAGTTCTAAATACATCATTAGTGACTTCTATCCTTATAGTGAAAGAATTCCCATCATTGAAGGGGAAAAATGGTTGATCCCTTTCTTCTGCGCCCCATGATCCATTAATCAAAGCATTTCGCACACAAACTCTTTCAGAGAGGCGTACATTAAAATGGAAGATAACGTCGCCGTTATCCATCGTTGGAATTGAAGAAATATTAATTGAAAACCTTTTGGAGTAAAAGAAGGGATCTAAGTATTGTATTAAACATCTTCACAATGTCAAAGTTTTGTGATATCGTTACTCTACACAAACCCTGTAAAAAGTAGCTATATTAAAATCGGACTAGAGAGCTACTTTTTCATTTGTTCCCGGTCTAGGACTAGGAACAAATCACAAAATTGCCTTTTTAGTATACAAGTGCTTTTTTTTAAAAAACAAAAATGACTTGTCTTCAAAATGGAAAGTGCCACTTTTGAGGGATTAGTGACTAGTTACTTCAAATATTATATCGGAGATTAATTTTTGGAAGGTCCTTCTCCTAACAATCACAAATGCTTTGATCCACTTGAAAACGACGGATTTGAAAGAAACATGCTCATTAGTTGGTATATAATTAACCATTACGTCATGTGTATCCACAAGCCTGACTATTAAAAAACAATTTTTGTCAGGGGTTTGTGGAGAGGAACGATATCACAAAACCTTGACATTAAGAAGATGTGTATTTACATGTAAGTACAAGGCAAGTTTACATATCGTGTAATATCTGATTGAACCAAATTGTAACTTTGTTCATATAGAAAGGTATCATTTTCTCCAACGGTTGTCCGAGGATCTAACGAATTTCAATATTGTCTCCTTGTTCATCAGTAGGGTACAAAACATGCTTTTTTGTGTTTTTTTTTTGACAATCTAACAATCTTTGTAATAAGGTTTTACTTCCTGGTATCTTATGATAGAAATACTTATTGCAAAATGACTCCTTTCTCAACATGCAGAAACACATACTAAACACCGTCATTTCTTTATTACTCACGATGTCGCTCCCCATGGAACACGCCCTCTCAGTATAATTTGCTTCCCCGGTAAAAGTTCTCCAGGAATATTGTACTCTCTAGTGGCATCCTATGAGGAAAAAATCCAGATATGGAAATCTTCAAATATGTTTCCTGTGTTACATTTAATTTAAATTTCACTAACTCACGGTTATTTATATCTTTCAATTAATTTTTGATATGAAATTCGTATAAAATCTTGTTCATGTGAAATTCACTTATTTTATTTTCACGTGAAATCATGTCGTAGGTTTTTAGTTTACACACTCTGCGTTTTCTTTTTACATGGATTTGACGTTCATTATATTTTTACGTGAACTTTTACATTAGGCAAGGTCGCCCGCGTGGCGCAGTGGTTAGAGCGTCTGCTCGAGAGTCGCGGAGTAAGGAGTTGATCCTTACGTCGCGGTTTCGAATCCCACTGCGGGACGTGGAGACCGGTCCTTCGGATGAGACCGTATAAACCGAGGTCCCGTGTCGCAGTAGGTGCTGGCACGAAAAAGTTCCCTCACTGCTGCCGAGTATAGGACAAAATTTGCAGCTCTCCACCGGCAAGTGGTGGCGTCTCCATTTGAGTGAAAAATTCTCGAGAGGGACGTTAAACAACATACAAAAAAAACATTAGGCAAATATACCAATGAATAGTAGGTCATTCCAAAGTATACGTGAAATGTTTCTAAAATAAATAAATTAATTAATTCAAGTGTACTTATTTTTCTTTTTTATTGTTAGTAGAATTGTTTTTGACACTGCTGTGCAGTTTCTTCTCTAACTGCATTCATTTTTTTTATCTGACACATACATATACATCGAAAAGGTCGATACTAGTATAAGTATTATCACATAGATACATGTTTGATCCATTTAAAAAAAAAATCCTTTAAAAACAAGACTTAATTAGCAGATACCTTTCTTTTTCCTGTCTCACGGATCCGCATGATTTAGATAGGTTATAAAAGTTCACCGGACCTTGAAAAGTTAAGAAGTTATTAATATTTTTATGCATAACCAAATGAATTTAAAAAAATGTTTTTGTAACTTAAAAAGGAAGAGTTTCTCATGATTTTTTTAATCTTTGCAACATCATAGAAATCATAATACTTTGAATTCATTGGAAATCTACTATTGATCAGCATAAGGTTGTTACAAGTCACTCATAAATTGTCACAATGTCACCTATCATTTGAATTGAATTCTACAATTAAACAAAGATCCTCTTTATATTGCAGTATGTTTTATAACATTTAAGGAGTTGAAAAACTGAAGATTATATCGAAGTATGCTCAAGATAATGTTACCCTTTTCTTTTGATTTCAAATGAAATAGAAAATAATAATCCAAGGAATATATATTTTCCTTTTTTTTAAATATACAGACAATAAATTGAAAAATAAGTATACCAAATTAGATCATTCTATCAATATTTTAAGATAAAAAAAAAATAATTGTAGACAACTTACCTGCAATGACACCTGCACAGAAATTAACGTAAGCTGATAAGACCTTTCTCACCCTGTGTTATAAGATGCTCAACCTTCCTGCACACCTATATCCTGTTTGTTAAGACACGAGTGTTCATAACAATGATCAATAGTTATCAATTTACTTCCTTTTTTGAGATATTTCATCTTTATCATCCCTCTCACATTCTACTTCCTTTGTCTGTGAGCCCACCTTCAACAAACTACTAGTCAACACTCACTATTTTGTGGTTTTAAGGCCCATATAGAATAAACAAGAGATTCAAGGTTCATTTGAGCATTGTTGAAGGTCAAATTGATCCAGGCATCCTAAACTGATGGTTTAATGCATCAAGACGACGTACTGTGGTGCATCCCGCTATCTATAATTTCTGCTTTCAATTAAAACAACTCACTTAACAAGTGTTTGAAACCAATTAATAAGGGGGGAACGATACATTTAATACCGTAATTACAAAAACACACAAGTTTCTAATCAAATTTGTTCTCGCACATCCCGTAATTGTTGGCTGTTTTGCGAGGTCCTATATAGTCATAAAGAATTTTGCATACAAAAATCCATATCACATGTCATGATATCAACCCGAGTGGTCCCATATCAGCCCAAGAGCCAATAACCCGACGGAATTGCATCATTTTCTCTTATCATGACACGATTTTTTTTTATATAATCGATGAGAATATCAGGATTTAAAAATTATAACTTGAACCACTGATTATAATTTTCCCTTTAAATATTCATTATGCGAAACTGGTGAACGGTGGCAGCATTTCCAGTATTATCTTAAGAAACTGGTGAAAGTTGGCATCTTCTCCAAGGTACGTCAAATTTTATAATTTTCCCTTCAAAGATGTGTTACACGAAAATGATGTATGATGGTATCTTCTCGATAAAAAAAAATCATGTCAAGATAAATACTGCTTTATACGAAATAAAAATTCAACAATGTTGAATAACTTCTAATTGAAGAAAAAAGGATTGTGATTTAAAAGAAAGTTTTGTTTCAAACTTCAAAGTAAATATACATGTAGTTGAAGAAATAAGTTTATTCTTATCACTATGCAAGATACAAGTACCCTGTTAATAGATAAATAGCACAAGGCATTTTACATGTAGGAGTTGAAAGGGTTTTATTAATGAAGTGGCATTGTAAATACTGTAAACTAACTTATTCGCGACATCTTTTATTCGCGATTCTTCAATTTATAGTCATCCGCGACTATACTATTTTTCGCGACTGAGGCAACTTTGTACATAAATACAAAGGCGAATAATTGGTTCGCGACGAGAAATATTCGCGAATTAAAGAGGGTCGCGAAACTCGCGGATATCTCTCGTTTGCGAATAAAAGTTGGCTTACAGTAGGTGATTACTCTTAGGGCTACCAAAGTGCTGCTCTATTACAGAAGTCTAAATCAAATCTAGAGACGTCTCATATACGCTTTCTGTTATATATAGATTTAAAATTCAATTTAATACGCTTTCTTTTACCTTAAAAAATAAACACAAAGGGTTATTCTAATCAATGCCCTGAGTTAAACACACATTTTAAAGTAACAGTCACCTTGTTTCCAAAATACATAAAGCACTTGGAATATAATCATGATGTTTTTCGTGATTCCGTTTTGTAATTTTGTCCCTTTTTTCCCCCTGTGTTTTAAATGTCAACGTTTGAAATGATGGAGAACTCTACCAGCTCTACCAGTATAATACCAGTATTCTAAGTTGCCGAAAAAGAGCTGAGTTAGACAAAAAAGGTCATTCTTTGATGTGAACATTAAACCAAGCGACATGACCACACTATTACGGTATATCAAACTGAAAAAAAAACCCAGCTGTATAGGAATATCCTCTTGCGATGTCTGGTTAAAAAAATGAGGAATATTATGTATTGTAGAGAGATGACAAGTACAAGAAGGGCGTTCATGCATGAAATACAATAGCTCAATTATCTTTATTCCAATGGAGAATACGATTTTGATCCTACCGTGACTGTTTTTTTATTAGAACAGAAATGCACCCCATGAAACTGAGAAAAGTATAACATTAAACCAGAAATTTGTAAAAGATGTCACATGAGAATTGCTACTAGAATCATAAAATTTCCTGTCAAAAACTATTATGTAACTGTATATCAGAAAAGAACTCTTTCTACAGTTGACCGCAACAGGCTGTTTTCGAAATAGGCGTTGACAAGCGCATTTACATTCAATTGAAAATTATGTATGTAAGGAATCTTCATAAAGCCATAGGATGAGACAAGATTAGCACAAAAGAGATTTATATCGTTTAAATTCTCGAAAAAGCATGAACAAAAGTCTCATAATCTTATATATTTTTTATTGTTTAACCTTTTTATTCTAAATCTTTATTCTTTGAATTACGAGGCGTAAAGACATTTGATTTAAATCACCATTATAGCGGTGCAATCGTTAAAATGTAAAAATAAAAGGCTACTTTTACCAGTTGAAAGATTTTTTTTTAATTTTGTTAAAAACATTTTTTTTAAAGCTCATCTCTTTTTTTCTCTCAAATCTTCTACATTTTCAACAGTGTTATTCGGTAATTTAACCATAAAGTAAAATTGATATTGTCACAGGTATTATTTTTACTGTGAAAATAATAAAAAAAACTTTTTCACAATGAAAATATACAAATGTAAATTGGCGACCAACTTTCTTTCCATTTACAAAGAATGTTTTAAATAGATAGAATGAACTATCATGACTCTAACTAAAAGGGCCAAACATTTAGCTATGACGTTTCACATTCGCTAAACTTCGCGGGTATTTTAAGGCTACATCTAGATATTCTACTTTCTTATACAATATGACGTCATATTAAGCTATATGACATGAACTTAAAGAGATAACGATTTCTAAAAATCTATATTTAAAGATTGATTTGAGGTCCTAGAAATGAATGGAAACATACAAAAGCTTGATATAAACAAACATTCCTGTCGTTTCTGGGTGGTAGCAATAGCTATGTATTTGTCACGGGGGTTAAATACCAAACCCATGACGTAATAACTGTCAATCAATATTTGCAGAGGAAAAACCTAACGTAAATTCATGTAAACAAACATATGAAATCGGAGTTAAACAGCATTTAAAATGAATATCATGTCTGATTCATGCGGAATAAAAGCTTATGAATAAGGCACGCAGATTTATGTTTACAATTTCTTCGTATAATGAGTGTTTTTACATCCCGATCAGCCTTTCCCCTGTCGTTCGTTACAACAAAGATGCATAAGTTCAAGCCTAAGACGCATACTTTGAAACATAATTTTATTTCCTATTGAAAGTTCTTATTCTATATTTCTTGGAAAGTGCTGCTAGAATCGTGTGATTACCGGGAATTGATGATTTTTTTCGATTGTATGTACAAAATGTAAATATTTTGTAAGGTTTCATTCGAAAGTGTGGAAGAATTATTTCTGTGATTGTAGTGTAGGATTCTAGCAGCATTTTTCATGGTTCAGAGATGATTTTACATAACTATTCTTACAAATAGAAATCAATCATCCCCGGGATAGTGTTGAACTTTTCACTATTTCATTAAGGCATCTTTTTCTATGTATAGACGTCACATGATGACGTCGGGGTGGAGTGCTTCCTATAGTTTAAGACTCATTGGATAATGATAGTAAATGTTTTAACCACGTCTTTTCCGATTTATCAATTTTACATTTTACAAAAAAGTGTGAATTCGCAGAATTCTGATCTGTGTGCTGCCTTAACATACCTGCGTTAATATTTCGCAACTGCTCAGCTATGACGTCAATGCAGCTCCATTGTGTTTACGAAGAGTCAGCTATAAAAGGAGAAAGAGGCAAAAGGAAAAACAAAAGAACTGTAACAAACAATTAATTCAAAGGTTTATAGTATAAGAAATGTTTACAAAAATATTTGATTTAAGATGATACTATTTAACACCTAACCGATACACAAATAAAACAAAGAATGTGATTTTGATAATCTATATATTAAACATATCTGTATAGTTTAGTTTCACATCAAGGATTCGTGTGTGTGTGTGTGTGAGGGTGTGTGTGTGTGTGTGTGTGTGTGTGTGAGAGAGAGAGAGAGAGAGAGAGTTCTCATAAAATATTAATTGAAATATTTAAAGTTTTTCTGAAGGACTAAGCGCAAAGTTTGCCACATTTTTCGTGTTTGACTGTTTTAGTGATTATAGAAGTGAATGAGAAATTAGCAATAACCTGAACATGTATGACAAACCGGATCACATTATCTTTTCCATCGTCAACTTCCCTTTTTCTGTTATAATATTCCACTTTCACTTGCATATAATGCTTATATCTCGAAATTGAATTGGTACACAAGACCAAGTTCTTGGTACGATCGATTTTTACACAGAGACAACCACTGACAAATAATTTGCAGTTACAGAGCTTTCATTGACAAAAAGTCAATATTAAAAATTTCTATGGTCTTTATAATTACCTTGTTT